CCGCCCCGCTGTCCCGCGGCTGCGCGTCCCCAAGTCCCGCTTCGCCTGGCGCCTTGCGGCCCTCCCCCGCTGAGCGCAGGCTGGGTGCCCCCCGCACCTTCCAGCAACTCCACTTCCTGTCTTGTGACCCCTTTTTCTTACTCTCTTATTTCTGCTACCTCCCCATTCCCCGCCAGGTCCTGTCGTCCCTCCCAGATGACCCTTTTGGAAGTCCAACGCTTTCCACTGACTTTTTCTTTCTTTTCTTTTTGTGTGTTTCCAAACCACCGTCTAGTCATGCCTACATACCTTGCAGACGCTGAATCAGAGGCGGGGCGTCTCCTCCTGGCTGGTAAGTACCCAGTTTCCCCTTGCCTCTGCCCAAGTCCCCCCAGTCCCAGAGACCCTAAAACTAGAGATCAGAGAAGGAACGAGAGAGTCAGCCCTGTTTCCCTGACTCCAACCTCAGAAAGCCCTGACTGTAGCCACCTTCCCACTGGCTCAGGGGAGGTAGGGTGACCAGAGGGCACAGGGCAGGGAGCCAGGCTTCCACGCTGGGAACAGCAGCGCCTGATAAACACAGCCCCAGGTGCAGGTGACCCTGCTTAGGCTGGCAGGATCCTGGCCCTTCCCTTCCTAGTCCCCAAGTGGGAGCCTGGAGTTGAAAGGAAGGTAGCTGGGCCCAGAAGCCAGCTGGAGCGCCTACATGGGCTTGAAATCTCTTCCCTGTCTGGAGCTCAGGGTCCTTATGGTGTCCTGTGGGAACCTGGGGGAATGTCCTTGTGGGGTGGCATCAGATCAGCCTCTTGCAGAGGAAGCCTGCCCTAAGCCACTGGGAAACTGGACAAGTCCAAAGGCAGGAAAGTGCTTGCTGGGCATGGGGCTGACCCCAAGCCCTTCATCTTCCCTTGCCGCAGGCCCGATGGTTCCCTAAAACGCCAGCCAAGTCCGTGGTGGCCTTGAAGACACCCATTAGGGTGGAGCTGGTGGCTGGGAAAACCTACAGGTGGTGTGTGTGTGGCCGCAGCAAGCAGCAGGTGAGAGACCCCTACCCCCTGTCATTAACATATGACACCCCTGGTTGGGACAGCAGGTATCTCCTGGGAGCTCCTGCCCAAGACCTTCCTCTTCCTCCCCCCCTCCCCCCGCCCACCCACACACACACAAAAAGGGAGGCTGGGGGTGAAAGAATGCTGTCTGGCCAGCACCACCACCCACAGCCCTGAGCTCCCTGTTCTCTGTATCCACTGTTTGACACAAGGCCAGAGAGAAACTCAGTCTCTCTGAGTTCTGAGAGGGCTCTGCCCTCTTCTGGTGCTACCCCTCGGAGGCGTGGTCTGGACTCCCCGCTCATAGGAGAGAGGCTGGGTTGTCTTTCTCCCCCTCTCTTCCCCCTTCCAGGAAGCATCTGAGCCAAAGGTTCCCAGGCTTTGGACCCCAACATTGAGAAGACCCCCAGGTGCCCCTTGCCAGTGTCTTCTGCAAAGCCTCTAGTGATGGGGCTTCCTTGGTCGCCTTGCCTGCTCTCACCTTCCTCTCCCTTCCGCCCCAGGAGCCTTCCTTCCAGCAGGAACCTGACCCACATTCTTAGCCTCTGAGCCCCTTTCCTTCCTAAACTGAGCTCTGAACTGTGCGCCTCCAAGCGGTGTCATGTGGTGCCCCAGCCCAGGGTCCCAAGTCCTACTTTGCCACTCTCTTGACCCTGAGCGGGTCCTCGTGAGGGTGGAGCAGCTCTAGGGAATGCCAACCATAGTGTGGCCTAGCACAGTCTGGCACTCTGCCTTCTTGAATTTTGCCCTCTGGGACAGGTTGCTGGGTTTTATTTGTATACTTCTCTCATCTCGTCTCCTACCCTACCTTGACCTCAAGGTCAGGAGGCCTGCCTAACTAACTAGCAAGTCAAGGCAGGCCTCAGTTTCCATTACCCAGTCTCTGCTTGAGCAGCTTTCGGAAGGATGGGAAATATATTCCTACAACAGGCAGCCAGTTCCCCGTGGGACATCCCCTTCCTCCCTGTAACATCCACTCCCTGTAACGTGTGCCCATGTTTCCTGGAGCCGAACAAAACTGATACCCCAGTCTTAAAGCGTTGTACATGGCAGGCTGTCTCCCACACGGAGAAGTTTTTACCCATAGACTATGTGGATGGAAATGAACTTCACGAGCCGGTGGAGACCCCGAGACATTTTACTTTATTATTTTTTTAAGTTTACTTATTTTGAGAGAGAGTTGAGTGAGTGAGCACACAAGCTGGGGAGGGGCAGAGAGCGAAGGAGAGATGGAGAATCCCAAGCAAGCTCCATGCTGTGTGGGGCTCGAACTCTCGAACCTTGAGATCACGACCTGAGCCGAAACCAAGAGTTGGGACACTTAAGCGACTGAGCCACCCAAACTCCCCATCAGAGATGTTTTAGAAAAACCTATCAGTGGGGTTTTAACTGCTCAGTCGGTTAAGCATCGGACTTCAGTTCAGGTCATCATCTCACAGTTTGTGAGTTTGAGCCCTGCATCGGGGGAATTTGAGCTCCGAATTGGGTAAGTTTGAGCCCCGCTTCTCTCTCTCTCTCCCCCTTCGGGTGAGCCCAGCTTCTCTCTCTCTCTCCCCCTTTCTGCCCCCCCCCCACTTGTGCCCCATCTCTCTCTCAAAAATTAAATAAATAAATAAACCTTCAAAAATCAAAAAACCTATCAGTGCTGTTTCACCTTGAAAATTCTGCCCTTTTATCCTGGCCCTCTGGATCCCCCAGAGACTAATGCATTAAAGACTCATACTTACCTAACGCTTCCTACAGGCAAAATGCAAAAGAACCATTATTTGTTTTACTGCCTAGGGACTGCTCTCCTATTACCTTCACACTGCAGATGAAGGAGGTAAAACTAGGGGGCCCAGGCAGTCTCATTCAGGAGCCTGAGCCCTAAACACTGTGCGCTATTCAGCCCAGCAGGTGGGGTTGTGTCTCTAACTTCTCTCTTTCCCTTACCAGCCCTTCTGTGATGGCTCCCACTTCTTCCAACGCACTGGCCTATCCCCACTCAAGTTCAAGGCCCAGGAGACCCGTGTAGTGGCCCTCTGTACCTGCAAGGCCACCCAGAAACCCCCGTACTGCGATGGCACTCACAGGAGTGAGCGGGTGCAGAAGGCAGAAGTGGGCTCCCCGCTCTGAGGGCGTGGCTCCCAGGCCTCTGACAGGTACCCCATTTGTGGGGAAGGAAACTGCTGAACCCAAGAAGGGACCACCCAGGGACCCCAGTACCCACTGCTGGCTTCTGAAGGGCTTGCTCCCAATTCCTGAGGTCTCTTGGGCAGCTGGGGAACATGCCCCTGGTTCAACGCCTGCTGGTGAAAATGGCATTAAACAGAATACCCACCCAGAAATGGTGCTCCTGTGGTCGCTGGCGTGAGGCGCGTGGCCTACCCCAGCTCGGGATCTTAACCTGGGATGGGGCATCCCACTGGCCATAGGGAGGGAGCAGCTCACTTTCATTCCATACGGGGTTTCCCAAGGCAGGCTGAGCCCAGAGACGAGAGACACGAGGAGGAGGGCAAAGGACCCCCCCGCCACTTTCCCTGTCCCCCAAAGAACTACAGGTCCAGAGAGTATGCAGCATTTATTACAAAGCCAGGAGATACAAATGTCCCAGGGCAGGAGGGTACAGTCACAGCACCTCAGACACAGGACAAGGTGCAAACACAGACAAACCTGATGGGGGGGGGGGGCTCCCAACCCCAAACACCTAAGTTGCAAGGAAGTCTAGCCTCCTCACCTCCTCCCCGATCTGAGCTATGTACACTGGAGGGAAAACAGGTGGGCAGGAATCTGGTGGGGTCTGCCCTTCAGGGGGCAGCCCACTGACCTCGCGGGACGGAGCAGAGGTCAGAGCCTACAGGCTTCTGTCTTCTTGTGCTTTTAGATGCCTCTGTCGCTCTTTCTTGACTCTGCCTCAGCTGGGGGTGGGGAGGGGACTGGAGGGCTGCTGGCCTTTGGCACAATCTGGGGTCTGTGCTTGTCTGAGGTTAGCCCCACTCCGCCTCTCCACGGCACTCCAGGCCCCCGGATGGGACTTTCCTCCCAGCCTTGCTAGTCAGAGTTTCGGGGTGGGGTGGGGGGCAGGGGCAGAACGGGGTGAAGCAGTTCACATTGCTAAAGCCACAGTGGAATTTCAAGGGCTGAGGCCTCCCGTGGCCCGAATCTTCTCTTCCACGAGGTAACGATGCAAAGGCCACACACACAGGAAAAAAAAGAAAATGGCAGAACTATCTATTCTTTGCACAAAGTTTCCACTGCAAGAGGAGGAGGTAAGGGAGATGCCATCTTCACCACCCACTCACTCCTCAGAACCAGGGGATAGACTGCATTTGTAAAAGGCACTGTCTTAGCAAGTCTCTGGACATTCAACAATGGCGGGGGGGGGGTGCTGGTGGGGCCGGACAGCAGCCAAAATGGGGAAAGAGAGAGGGTAGACCCCGTTCACAGCCGGCTGGAGTTGTGCCTAAAGCTTTGGGGGCTGGTGGGGCTCCCCCAACACCCCATCTGCCTTGGGAAACAGGAGGATGGAGTGGAGCTTTACTGAGCCTCAAGTGGCCCTCCGGGTCCACCGCCAGACACCCCCAAAATAAGAGCAGGGCAAATTACACAAGACCCCCTAAAAATGAACACTCCACCCCCCACACATACACACACACATAAAGTTTGTTTCCTGTGGCATTTAAATTAATCTGGTTGGTCCATAGAAAATAAGTATGTATATTTGGTTTTTCCTATGTACATATATATATAGATTTATTTATAAAACCCGCCCCCCACCCCTAAGGCGGGAGGAGCTGGGGCAAGTAGAAGAGGTGGAAAAGGGGCCCAGAAAAAGTGGAGGGGTGGAGAGGCATGGCTGGAAAAGGAGGGAGAGGGTCCCTTTCCTCAAGTTAAGGGGGGCACAGGAGCTCCGTTGACAGTCATCTTGCGCCCCCTGCTGGTGGAAGATGGTGTCTGCAGGCAGTTCGAGGTACCCCCGTTGGCAGCTGTGGTGGCCCCACTGGCTGTCGCAGGGGGAGTAGGGGAGGTAGGGTGGGTAGCCGGGGGCCCATGGGAGCTGGGAGAGCCATGGCAGGGGGTGGCTGGGCTGGGAAGGGAGGAGGAGGTGGCTGGCAGGGTGGCAGGGCTGGGAGCCTTGTCGCTGACTGACTCACACTCAGATGCCCCGCTGGTGTTGGTGCCCTCCGAGGGGGTGGGTGCTGTGGGCAAGGTGAGCCGCTTGCAGGCCGGCTGGACCCGATACTTGAGGGGGAGAGGGCCATTCTGCAGGGAGAGGGGGCAGAGAGGCAGTGAAGGGGAGGGTGTCGGGAGAAAGAGGCCACCCAGGAAGCTACCCAACCCTCACCCCACAGTGCCCAGATAGAGGAACGGGGTCCGGGCCTTGGAGAGGAGCAGATAGGCCAACAAGACTGACCAAGCAAGGCCAGAGATACAGGGGCACACAAAGACCCAGAGAGGCAGACAGAACGTGCAAGGCCAGGGACCGGAGAGGAGAGAGGCTGGAAGGCAGGAAGCAGCATCCGCTCCTCCACGGCCACCCGACCCTGCTTTCTGCCCCAAATCAGGGCATGTCACCTGCCAAAGGATCCTTTTTCCCTTTAGAGTGTGGGAGGCCATCATCGGAAGACGGCCGGAAGCGGCCGGCCTGCTGTGGCAGACCACCCTGGACGTGCCCAGCTCATGGGACAAGGCATGAACCGTGATTACTGGTCACTATGTGGTCACTGTGGCCACAGACCAATGCCAGACCCTGCAGGGCTCCCCTCCCGGCCCTGTCCCCGCCCTGCACCCTCCTGCCCAGCTCACCCGCCGCCAGGGATAGATGTAGGCTATATCCATGAGAGTGTAGTACTCCTTCAGTGGCTCGTCCTCGTATAGAACCTCCACCTGGAGGAGGAGATGGAGAACACCATTACCCGGTTCAGGTTCAAGGCTCCAGCCGTTTGGCAGAGAGGCTCCTAGCTAGGGGTGGGAAGTGGGGCGATGGGGAGGAGGGACTTGCAGGTATGCCCTTACTACTTTGGGGTTTCGCGGTGGGTTTGACTTCCCGGTCAGGCTTGTCCCAACCGAACTCCAGACCACCAGACGGAGAAGGAAGGATCCAGAGAAGATACCCACATCATTAACAACCCCTGCCTCCCGCCACCCACACAGCTGTCTGAATCCCTCAATCTCTGGCAGGTCCTCCAGAGATAAAGGGGGGGCGGGGGGGGGGGGGCAAAGAAAAAGCCCAGGTGAGAAAGATCTCGCAGAGCACTGGCTCTTGCCCAGGCTGCAGTGGAATGACCCTGGACGCATTAAAAAAACACATGCTTGGGGCAGCTGGGTGGCTCAGTCGGTTGAGCGTCCAACTTCAACTCAGGTCATGATCTGGCCGCTCATGAGTTCAAGCCCCCTATCAGGCTCTGTGAGGACAGCTCAGAGCCTGGAGCCTGCTTCAGATTCTGCACCCCCCCTCTCTCTGTCCCTCCCCCCACGCACGCTCTGTGTCTCTCCCTCTCAAAAATAAACATTAACAAAAAATTAAAAAAAAACAACAACACATGCTTGGATCTCACCAGAGATTCTGATTTAATTGGTATGACATGAGTCAAGTTTTAAAGGCTCCCACACGATTCTGATCTGCAGCAAAGTTTGGGATCCGTTGTCCTAGAGCCTTGATACCCAAAGTGTGGTACACAGACCAGTAGTATTGGCAACACCTGGGAACCTGCTAGAAATGCAGAACCTATCTATGCTTTAACAAGATCTTTAGAGAACCAGTGACGTATTCGAATTTGAGAAGTGCTGTCCAAGACCTCCAGTGGAATTTCAGACTGGCCTTCCTTCAGCCAGGTGGCCCCAGACAACCCCCTATATTTCTGCACACATACCTCTGCCACAGTTCTGAACATGCAACCATGCACATGTGCACACATAATGCGCGCACACACACACACGTACACTCCGTCTTGGTTCCCGTGCATCTCTGCACACTGGCTTCAACAGACAAAGACTACTCCACCCTAATCTTGGTTTCAATTACCCTTCTACTCAGCTCAATTACACAACCACGCAGGTCCTCGTGTCACCCAGCCTGCTCAGAACAGTGGCTGGGATGCACAGATTGCCAGATGCAGCCACACAACAGGCACTCAGTTTCTGAGAGGGCCCAGGGACTCACCTTGTATTTGCTGGGCACATCCATCTTGTTGCGAAGAAACTTGGCGAGATGCATGACGGTCATGGCTGCTGGGCATTGCAGGAACCGCACCCCTGTCTGCTGAGGGAGAAGCACCCAAGGGCTGGGGTCCGCCCCAGGCACTCTCTCCCAGTCCGCATCCCACCCCTAGGCAGGTCCCCAGCACTCACCTTCTCCTTGTCCCCATCCCCATTCTCCAGAGGACCTTTCTTTTCCTCCCGGTCCCTGGGGGAGGAGAAACAATGAAGCTAGGGAACCCCTGAAGCAGGCAGGATCCCCCAACACACACATCCAGAAGACCTTCCTGGAGACACCTTCTCCTGCTAGGGGAAGGGGGCCAGGGTGGGGAAGGGGGCCAGGGCTAGGGGAAGGGGGCCAGGCCTAGGACCCCCAAAACCAGGCGTGGCTCAGACTTGCCTGACACCTTCATAGAACTCGATGGAGAGGCTGACAATCTCGTTGTCGCTCAGAGCTCCCTTCTCCTGCTCCAGGACCTCGCCGCGGTCCTCATTGGAGCCATTGGGGACTGCAGAAGGAGAGAGAGCTGAGGGGCTGGCCTAGGACGGGGACAGGAGCCCCACCAAGGACCCTGGATCTCACAGCTCGGTGGGGGGTGGTGAGCGCAACCATCCTCTGGGCCGGGGCGGTGACGCGGCCGCACGTGCAGGGCGGACAGCCCAGGGCGGCACCACCTGCTCAGGGGAACAGGCAAGCGAACACGCTCACCTTCCGTCAGGGGGTATGCTGCATAGAAATCCCGCCGTCGTTTCATCTCATCTGGAAGAGGAAAGCAGGGTGAGGATGGAGCACTAGGCAGGGAAGCGTGGGGCTGTGGGCAGGATGAAACGGAGGTAGATACCTTTAAAAAGCCCAGGGACCAGTTTATAGACGATGTCTTGCAGGGTTTTGTCAGATCTGGAAACAGCATGGAGTCCCATCAGCAACCACCCCACCCTGCTCTCCCCAGCCAGAAACCCTTATTCCCACCTCCCCTCCTTAGATCCGGGGCACAGGCACCAGGGTCCCCAGAGGCACGGTCTTTACCCCTCTAGTACTTCTCAGCCCAGACAAGCCGGATACGACACAGAGGGAGGGGAGGGGCCTTGCTTCTCCCCCACCTGCCACCTTGGCTATAGGATGCAAAGAGGGCTGAGGGACAGAGGGCAGATGACCCAGAGAGTCCGCATGGGCGGGAGGGACAGTGCCGGGCCCACCTGATGCTCAGCAGCGGCCTGGTTTTGTGGACCTGCACATCACACATGGGGCAGTACTTGTTGGTCTCCAGGTAGCGCACGATGCAGGTTTTGCAGACTTGGGGGTGGGGGGTAGAGAAAGAAAGGAGAGTCAGAGCCCCCTTCGTAATCCAGGACCAGCCCCCGACGGCCTCTGCTCAGATTCAGGTATCCCTTCCTCTCCACCTTGTCCCCGCAGCTCAGCCCATTCAAAGGCTCAACGTGGTCCTGGTCTCACCCCTCCTCCGTCCTTGGGGGAGGAGGGGCCGTGGGAGTGCATGCGTGTGGGTGTCAGGCCAGTGTCATGTACCAAGCAGAAGGGGAGCCCCAAGTCCGATGGAGTACAAAACAACAGCCCGCCTGCTGGACACCTCCCAGGGTCCTGGACCTCTGCCACCAAGCCCAGTGTGCACGTGGGGGGGCACGTGCATCTTCAGGGGCTGCAGCTCCAGCCAGAGGATGGAGGAGGGAACCGAGGGGTCAGGTAGGTGAAAGCTCCTGAAATAAACCTCCGGGCTGACCCCTCCCATCTCCCCCCCTGCCCCTCAGGAGTCTCTCTGCGGCCAGGGACCGCCACGGGGTGCACGGACGCGCGTGCTCTCCAGGGCAGGGCCTTGTGCTCTGCCCTCCCCAGGCAGTGCCCCTCCGACCTGGCCAAAGACTGCCCGTCCTGAGCAGCGGCCCCTCTGCCCAACTCACAGGAATGCAAGCACTCCACGATGGTAGTGGCGTCGATGAAGTACCCCCCGCAGAGGGCACACATGAGGTGAGGGTTCAGCTCTGTGATTTTGATCCGTGTGGTCCGATGCATGATGCCGGGGTGGGGGGCAGGGGGCCTGGGGAACGTCACCCTGAGAAATGAAAGTGGAATCAGAAACCCAGAGGCCCAAGAGCCCCTCCCACAGTCCACACCACCCAACGTCTGTCCCGAAGCCCAAGGCTTTTGCTCTCTGCCTCCGAGGCCAGACTGGCTACGTGCATGGGGTTGGCTCCTCCTGGCCCCTCTTGAGTATTCACCGGGTACGGGGGCTCTGGAGACGTGTGCCACCTTGAGCGACACCATCGGGCTCCATCTCAAGAGCAGGAGGAAAGATGAAGTTAGACCAACTCTCCAGAGGAGGCAGGAAAACTGAAGAGAACAGAGTTTTTCAAAATGTCCCTGATCCCAATCCACATTCACTGAAGTGAGTGCTAGGAGCTGAGGACACTTAGACCCCCCTCTACCCAGGTGCAAGGCCCCTGCCTCGGTCTTTCTACTCCATCCTCCCCTCCTTCCACCCCATCACCCTTCCCCCAGGAAGGCAGTCCCGGAAACACTGCGGCCATGGGATACCCTAGGTTTAGAGGGAGCACTGCACCACCTCGTCCTCCTAGCTCTACATCCAGACTGGGCCCGGAGTGGCTCCCTGGACGTCCACCATACGCTGGCCATGCAGGTTCCAGGCCTGGCGCTCAGCCAGGAAACACGGAGGATGGTCCTTACACGCCCGAAGTTGGGAGCACGCAGCTCCAGCCTGACCCCAGCCCTGACCCTGCAGGTAGTGGCAAAGAGCCTGGGCAAAAAAGACTGCTCTTGCCCCTTCTGCACAGTCCCCGCTGGACGGCCCACCGTGCAAGTCCCCCGGTCCCACACGCAGTCCGGGACCTCCCTCCCAGGCACACACAGCAATTTCTCCACGTGGACACTGCTGCCACTCCGGCTGCCTGTCCCCAGGCTGTCCAGTGACACATCACAGGCTCTCAGAGATATGCCCGCCAAAGCAGGGCAGAAAGTTCTCTCTGCAGCAGCCCCGAGCACCCAGCCAGGCCTTGGCAGGGACCTGGGAGGTCAGTCAGAGCCCAACTCTGAATTGGCTGATATGCCTAACTTCTCGGTATAAAAACCAAACCTGCACCTAGAAGGGAAGGCCCCTCCCTCCCTCCCTCCTCTTTCCCAGAGTAAAAGCCCAAGGCGTGGGGCTTGGGAGAGTGGCCAAGCCCCAATGACTCCTTCACAACATACACCCTTCTCTCCTTTCCAGAGAGATTTCTAAAGCCACCATATTGGGTTTTCTAGGACCAGAAATTCACAGCCAGGATCAACAGTTTCTATAGAGACCCCAGGATGAGTTTGGCCAGGACCCAAACAGCCAACAGAGGCTGGCCAGAGACCCAAAGAGATGGAGAGACAGACACAAAGGCCACACGCAGGAGAGACACCAAGTCTGCAGGGCAGACAGAGGGGACCAAGCAAGCCCAGAGAGCCAGCAGAGACACAGCGGCCTAAGGAAGGAAAGGAGCTCCTGTCCCAAGGAGGGCGGCCTAGGCCGGCCTCCCTGCAAGGGTTCCCCCCTTAACAATTACGCAGAAGGCTTGCTGGCTACTCCACTGTTTGGTCGTTTCCATAGTAACCCTGTCCCTGGCAAGATGCCCAAATATTATTACAACCATCCAGAGGAGAGAACAAACTCCAAGTGGCTGTCTCGCTGAGTGTGTGTAATATCCATTGGATGTGTACGTGATGTCTGGACTTCCAAAACTACTTTGTACGACTGCTTGACCTGTGCGTGTGTGCGTGTGTGTGTGTGTGTGCGTGTGTGTGTGTATCCAAATGAACCTCTGTGTGCACGCACAGACAGAAACAACACATTCTGGTCGATGCTGGTTGCTATCAGCGCATCTCACACCCGGCTCTGTCTCTCCCTCTCACGTACGCACACGTACGTACACACAAAACACACAGGCGCTTCCCACTGCCTCAGTCACCTCATTCACACACTGGCTGGATTTTCACAACACACACTGGCTCTTAAGAACTTGCATGCAGTTCCTGCCAGGTAGACTGTGGCCTCAACACGCAGGAGTTCCTAGGCAAGGGGCCGTGACCTTTACCCTCTCACTTCCGTGAGCATTGGTGAGAATTCGGGCCAAGATCATCTCTCAGGCTCCTTTCTAGATGCGCGGGAGAAGGAAGGAGCTGTGGAGCTGACTGTATAGAAATATTCCTCCTTGTCTGGTGTAAGAGCAGGCCCCCCTCGCCCGCACTCCCAGCTCCCGCCACCCTATCCCCAGGGGCCTCAGACTGCTACCTCTGGGGCTGGGGGTGGGGAGAAGCACTGATTGGCTCCTCACCTGATTGCCATGGTTACCTGCAGGGCCCTGCCAGCAGGTGCCAAGAACAACTGTAAACAGGAGCTTGGTTCCCCCACTGTTCGCCCCCCACACCTGACACCCAATTCCTTCCCAGCTGCAACTGGCGGGTGTATCGTGGGAAGGAGACGGAAGAGGGGTGACGGTGGCTGGGCTTCTGGCTGTCATCACGTTAGGGAAGAGGTTGGGAGATGGGAAACGGCGTGAGGGAGAAAGACAGAGAAGTTCCGTGAAGCAGAAAAGGGAGCCAAGGGCCATTTGGAAGTGGCCTCTGTGGAGCTCTGGGGGCCTTAACAGGTCAGTCCCACTGACACCACCACAGTGGACCTGTGCCCTGTCCCCCATGCCCAACTGCAGCCAAGTCATTCAACACCTTTTGTCCCCAAACCACTGTTCTTTGCAAGGGCATGATGGCTGCGCAGCCCATCCTGGCCCCTGGGGATCCGGGTCTTGGCCACAGTGGCAAGAAAGGAGCTCGGGTCAGCACCCAGCACCAGCTCCTCCTTGCCATTCAAGCCTGAGCTTTGTCTTTCCTCTTCTTCAAAGCCCCTACTAATTAGAGACCACCCCCATCTCTCCATTCTAGCCAGTCTTTTTCTGGAAGCTCTCTGCACTTTAGGGCTCTCTTGTTTTTGTTTTGTGTTGTTTTGATTTTCTTCTGCAAAACTGGCTGTCTTTGATAACCCAGAGGTCTCTGCTCTGCCTTTCCTGCACATGAAATTAGCCCCACTCCCCACTAGAAAATCACCAGGTCTTAGGAAAAGTCACTCAAGGTCACATGCAGACACCTAGAACTGCGGAAGTAGAAGGGATCTTAGAAGGCGTCTTGTCCAATCCTTTCATTTTCCAGATGAGGAAATTCGGAAAGAAGTGACTTAGCTAAGGTCATGCAGTAACGCAGTGGCAGTCCTAGGAGTAGAAACTGCCTGGCTCCTGTTCCAGTGCTCTCTACACACTGGCACCCAGGCCAGGCTCCCCTCTCATCTAAGAAACCAATAAGCCTGGCCTGACTCCATCCAGGCAGGTGGAAGGCAGAAGGACTCCAGGTTCCTTAGAAGACTGCTCAGTGAGCCTTCTGGGGGAGGTCAGAGTCTGGCCCAAACATGACCATCAGCACACATTCTCACCTTGAAGTAGGAAGAGGGACAGAGACTAATTGCCTCACCCCACTTCCACGGAACAGTTAGAGAAACTGAGGCTCCATGGAAGCACAGTGAGCCAGAATGTACTAGGTGCATTCCTCTGGTAGCTGTGTGGGTCCAACTGCACAAGCTCTGTGTATTTGTGTATGGAGGGGGAGCACAGGGGTCCGCCTGGGGACAATGTCAACCTCTCAATGTTCCCTGATCCTTGACCCCGGGACCTGCCCCTCCTTGCCAGCGGCGTCAAAAACATCCTCTAGTCTCCTGAAGCCGGGCTCATTGTCCCCTCTCTGCTCTCCCCCTTCAGCTTCCTAAGATCAAACAAAGACAAAACCCAAAATATACACCCAGAGCTACACATTGCCGAATATACACAGAGGCACACAAAGCCAGACACACCCCCTCCATCTCTCTCACACAACACACCAGGCCAGACAGACACTACACACACACACACACACACACACACACACACACACACACACACACACCAGGCCAGACACACCCCATCACACATACAGCCAGACCAGAGCCAGGCCCACACTTGCCAGATGTATAAGCCACCCCCACCCACCCCAGCAGCACACCGTCTGACATCCCTGCCTGAAACCAGAGCTGGAAATACACACTAACCTTTTGTGCATCCCCGGTCCACCCAGGATAAATTATAACATAAGTCTTCCAGCAACAAAGGCAGTGCAGCTCCCAACCTCCACTCGGGGGGCCAGAGGCTGGAGGAGTAGGGTGGGCATCTGACCTGCACAAAGATGTAGCCTCTTCCTGTTCAGGCTGTCTCCATTTCCATGGCAACAGCTCCATCAACCTAGACCTCTCAGGCAAGGCCAGGGGCAGCAGAGAGCCCCCCCGCCCTCCTGCCCACCCCCAAAGACTCCAACTTGAACTCCACTCAAGCCACACAGGGTGGATACTGAGTCCCAGGTCTCACCTGGGGTCTGTTTCCGGCCTCATTCCAAAGACAGCTCTAAGGCCACAACCTCCAACTCCAAACCAGGGAGCCCCTGGGAAAACCTCCCTACCCAAAAGCTGCAACAGAGCCGGCTTTATGCTCCTTCTCCAAGTACTAACACCTTGGAGCAGAGTGGAGACGGGGAGAAGAAGAGAAATGAGTTTCAGGAACAGATACAAACTGCGAGAGGCCCAGAGAAGGAGGCATCAGAAGACAGCGGGAGACAACCAGGAGACAAACCCCCTACTTCCCCCCCTCTCGCCCCCCAAGCAACAGGGAGCTCAGGAGAGACTGAGGCATATATACGTATGGTGGGGGTTCCTCTAAGAGACAAAGACCAGGAAGAAGCGAGGGGTAACACTTCCACGATATTTACAGGCAAATCCACCACCCCCAGGCCTCTTCCTTCCCCACCTCAAGCCATCCGAAGCAATTCTGGGCAGATGGGGGCAGTGGGGGAGGGGGAGAGGCATGCCTAGGCCCACTGTGGAGACAGGAGGGGCAGGGGTGTCTGCTGGCCAAGAGGTCCCACCCCCTCAGAGCTAGAGGAAGGAGGGCCGGGGGAGGGAGGGGGCAGCCCGGCTCCTCGGTGGAAGAGGGGCCAGTCGGTCAGACCCCTCCTGCCTCCGCTGGCGATGGGAAATATCGCGATAACTCTCCCCCCTTCTCCCTTCTCCTCCCTCCTCCCGGGCTTCCCCCGGAGCCTGGGTCAGAGGATCAGGGACCTCAGTTACCGGGTGGCCGTTCCTACCTTCCCTAGAGTCAAACTTTCGGCGGAGCCCAAGGAGGGGTGTTCCGGAGAAAGAGGCTCTGCCCGGGTGGTTCGAGGAGGGGGCGGGGCGCCCAGTCCGGGGCTGGGGGGAAAGGGACCCGCTGGGGGAGGTGCCCGAGAGGCCGGGGACCCGGGCATGGAGGAGCGCCCTCCCCCGGCCCCGCAGCGATCAAAAAGGCATGTCGCTTTCCTCCCGGTCTCAAGTCCCTGCG